TGATGTAACAAACATTTAAATTTTTTACTCTTGAAAAGAAAAAGAAAAATTCTTGCTTGTTAATGGTTATCTGCAAAAGTGTCCCCATATTGTGACCTGTAGAGCTCAAGTCATGATACAAATCATTGCTTTTGGCATCAACAAAGTTAACTTTGCCTTGTTAATTAAATGATAGCCAACAGATTTATGTGAATAAAAATTTTAAACAAACAGAGTAAGGGAATAGAGATTTGAAAATCACAGACCCCTTTTTTTTTTATGATCTTCATTAAATGAATCCATCATTATTAGGAAAGAAAGAAAGAAAGTTAAACATTAACACCAACACTTTAATGAAATGATTACCAGTGTGTGGTGGATGTCCCACCGGTGGAGCATGGTAATATTTTGTTGGGCTTACTATACCAACAGAATTGGAGAGGGGGGGGGGGTTTCAAGAATAAGTTATTAAAAGTGAATTGTTTTCTAGTGAGCTCAAATTTCATTTTGCATTATTATTTCATGATTAAAATGATCAAAGTATATTACACACTAGAATTTTAGAAATACCAAAGTGGGACATTGCCCAAAATCAATTGGGAACCACTGCTTTAATGTAAAGACAATAATCCTCTTTTTGTAAATCTCCAAAATTCACAAGTTATACAAGAAGTCTTTCTTTACAAGGAAAACATGAGTGAAGAATTTAACACTGAAAAAGTATTTGAATTAGAAAATTATTAACAATATTAAGTCAAACTAATTCATAATAAAAATCTGTCCCATAATTGGTGGTACATTTTCAAAAACATTTCATACACCAAAATGTAACAACTATTATGGGATGACATTAGGTAGTATTTTGATTTTTTTTAATTTGTTTTAGTCTTTTTTTGTTCTAGTCAATCAGTTATATTTAATGACTAATAAATTGGTTAACAATGTGACTAACAAGTAAAAGATAAATAAATTAGATAAAAACTAACAAAACTTGTATGCAATATTGAAAAGAGACTCATTAAAGTGTCTCTAAACAAAATATTGGTACTACTAGGTAAATAGTAAACAAAATGGTGTGTAGAAGAAAAGCATGACAGAATGACTAAAGTTTGCTTGATGATAAAAAGTTTCTGCAGATCAATAATTGCATTTTAATGATTAAAGAATAGCTAGCTGAAAATGTTATGATAATAAAATAAAAAAAATTTAAAATTAAGAGTCAAAAACTGATCCAAATGACCAAAGAAAATCTGAAGACAAAATTATTATAAAATAGTCTGTCTATATTTCTGAGATGAGGTATGATGTACAGTATTTACATTAGTCGGACTACTGTCCTCATCTTTGTCGCCATATTTGTCACAACGTTTCGGCCGTTGTACGCTCTGGCATTTCGAACTGAACCCTTTATTTCGATCACTGGGGTAGACTGTTCTCGTTCCACGTGCCATGTTTGATGGATGTCAGTTATCAGTTATCTCCTGCTAATTTTCCCTCTGAAAGTTCTCCACTGCCTTAACCAGGTATTGAACTCACTCTTTGGGTCTGTCATTAGATCTAACCAACATCTTTATCCACTGTGCCATGTTCAGTTCAAAATTCCAACCACCTTCAAAGCTCTCGGTAATGAGATTTGTCAGAAGTTAAAAAAGGCTTAGACATTTACTCTGACTGTTGCTAGAATTATGTTAAGAATTTAGGGACAGGGAAGCTGGTGCAACGAATAAACATGTTAACGAATAAACAAAGGAGAATTGTAATATAATGATGCATTGAGGCGTGTTTGTTTTTTTAAGGTATTTCTTATTGAAATTCTTAATATGAAAATAATGTCATATGTAAATGCAAATAACATGAAGATAGGTAATTATCAAATTTTTTGCAGGTAGCGATATATTATGCAATTGCAAATGTGAAGATTTCCATTCATGTGCAATTAAGAAGTGCATGACATATTACAAGCACAAAATGCAAGTCATTAAAATTACTTATGATGCATAGAAATCGATATTTGTGCAATATTCCAGAATGGATTGACGTAAAACTGAAATGTTCTTCTCACTCTCTAATGTTTACATATTTTATGTTGTCTGTTGCCAAGTTTAAAATGAGAGAAACATCTCAGACATAAATTGACGGAGAGCAGGAACAAAATTCCAATTCTTTCTCTTCCTGTCATATATATATATATATATATATATATACAAGATGAAACTGCCACCACACAATTATCTCATTAACATTATGTACCGACAGCCAGGAAAGGTCAAGGTAAGAGGGGTGGGGGGAGTATCACGCATTCATTATTTCATTCTGCTTTTCTTAATTTGCAAGAAAAATTAAGAGAAATCAAACAAAAAAAATCTAAAAGATAGGTATTTCAAAATTAAATGTTGCCTTTAAAAATATCAGTAGCCAACAGAGAGGTGTGAGGCATTCTCTCTCTATGATAAAATTTATGCAACTATTTCAAAAACAGGATTAATTGCAAGATGCTTCTAACATACTTCAACCCCAAAGCTGAGCAAAACCTTTCACATTTTAATGAAAACTTCTGTAGGTTAAAAAAAAAAAAATAAACCACTGTAACAAATTATTTATCTTCATATTCCGTCTGGTACAGTAAATCCCCAGGTTAAAAACAGTTACAACCTACAACGATTTGTGTTTATGACACAATATCCATTGATCTTGTTTCCTGATTGTACGCCATATTGGATTGTTGAGCATCCATTCTCTTTCAATCGTGTTGTGTTTGTGGAAACTTATTGTCCTTTATTATGGCTCCCAAGTGTAGTATAACCTCTTCTGATGATGGTGCTTTGAAGAAAAGAAAAGCTATCACCATGAAAGTGAATTTAGACATTGTTAAATGCTCAGAAAAGTTAGAAGTAGCAACAAACATTGGCCAGTTGCTTTGTTAAAGTCATTGGAATGTGAAAGATTATTGTTAACATATACCATAGAAATGTGTTGCTATAGTAGTTGGTTGTTTTAGTTTAGTGGCATATCAACACCTCTATAGGTTATTTAATGCTGAAAACTAAATATTTTGTATGCAATTTTTAATTTTGGAGATAACAATGGTTTTAGTGACACAAATCTTATTAATTAACACTTATCTATAGGAGAGGTGGTTTCATGCCTTTCTCAAGGATTTTTGAGCATAAGTGAATATAATGAACCCAACTGGAATTGGAACTCAGTTATGATTAACAATTCTGAACCATTATGCATTGCACTATCCACATCCAAGCTTAGAGCATCTGGTATTCCTAAGTGGTCACTCATCTAGTTACTGACAAGGCTCAGTATTGCTTAATTTTGGGGATCATACATGAACCAGTGTTTCAATGTGCTTTGGCTGGAATGCAGTGTTGTTATATCTTAAATTATTAATTTACTATTGTGTTAACGTAGGTGAATCACCCTCAGTATTTCTATTTTATAAATCCTTTTTCCTGGCTCCACTTAGAAATACAATATGAAAGACTTAATATTAAAAGTTATATAGGAAAGACAACATATACAAAGAATTGACCCTTTAAAAAAGAAAAAAAAAACACATATCACTTTTACAGTGGAATGAACTTTGGTAATGTTAATTCAATTTCAAACTTGTGGATGCCATTCATAACAAAGATTAATTTCTCAGGCATGTTAATCAACTTGTCTTTATAAGATTACAAATTCTTCAATTAATTAGGAAAAATTGACAAGTGTCAAACAAATAAATTTATTATATCTAAAGCTGACTTGAAACATCTGAAATAAAACTGTCATTGAGAAAAGAAATATTGTGATGTCATTTTTTTTTTTTTTAAATTAAAGCTAATGTAGAGGTTCAAGACTTAGAGTAGACAGTCACTTATTGAATTGATTGCAAAATATATAAAGTTTATGTTTATATGTTAGCTAAATCTTGTTTTCGGAAAGCAGAGGCAGGTTAATTAAAAACTGTCTGCAGCAAAATGTTTTCAAACATTTGGAAACATTTAACTTTTTTTTAATATTAATTTTTACTTAGAAGGTGACATTGATTTACAAATACAAAGTTGCCACAATCATTATCATTGTTTCTTTAAAATGGTATATCAAACAACATACCAAGATATACATTTAAACTTATTACTTTAACAGCAACTAACAACCGTTTGGTAGAATAGGTGTGAATTTTTGTTTCTCTGTAAACAAATAACACCTTATACTTAAATTTACCCTGCTATCCGGAAAATAGAGAATTCCTATGAAACCTGATATTCATTAACTTAACAGAATTTACATTAAAAAAGAGCAGTTGACCTTAATTTATACGGTCATTTTTCAGAACATTTGCAGAGGCATAAAATTTTTGCAAAGATTTACAGAAAATTGACATTAATTTTGAAAGGCTGCATGAGTTTAGGTCCAGCTTGTAAGATGTTTTGAGTGCCAACAAAAGAATTGGAGGGTTGGAAAAATGTCTACAGAGAAATAGTCAAGCATATTGTTGGATTTCTCAATTTCTGAAGCTGCCAACAAACTTCAACTTTTGACATCAAAACAGGCAAACCAAGAAAACTTGTTTCTTTTTTTTTTATGAAAATTGTTTCTTTGTTTTACATCATTTTGAATAAAAAGAAAAATCTGTTGATTTTGTTTAGCTGAATATCAACACCTCAAAGGGTTATTTCATGCTAAAGTCTAAATATTTTGAATGCAATTTTATAGCTTCAACTGAATATATTTTGTACATAGTTTTATATTTTGAGTAAAGGTATATCTTTTTAGATATATAGTTTCTAGATGAGAAAATGTATTGTTGGTAATTTTACTATAAAATGTATTTTTATATTTTAGTGTTGCCTGGGTTGTCATTTTGCCATGCAAATGTATTCTTGGTCATTTTATTATAAAAATGTACTGTTGATTTTTGTTTTGGAGGTTCACTATTTGGCCATAGTTTATGACTGGAGAAATGTGAACAGTAGATGGTGTTATTCTCAAAGAAAAACAAATGATGAAAACAAGAAAGAATTTACCTTTACAGTGGCTGCCCTAGGTATGCCATAAATGAGGGCCAGTTCTCCAAAACTACCACCTTCTCCAATTGTGGTCACATGTTCATTGTTCATAGACCTGCAAAAGAAGTCAAGTTAGCACTGATATTAGACAAATTAAAATAAGCAATTATTTCAGGATTTTCAGAAGTATTGTAAATTAGTGATAAATTTTAACTAATATTTCTTTCATCTTAATCTCAGTTGCTTTTTATTTCAACTAATTAGAGTGCCACTCTCTAGTTGTTGGTGAACAATACAGATTAGAAATAAGAAAGTTTATTTTCTATTTCCAATTCACACTGTAGTTAGAATAGTGACAAGAAAAAAATGAATTAAGATTAAAGAAATTCTCATCAAAAAATTAATAATGGTTAAAGAAATATACTTTAGTATTAAATAAAACGAGACAGCTAACGAGAGCAAGAAATGAGATAATGACATGAAAAAGGAATTACTGTCAAATGTTGAAGAGACAGCATTTGTCAATGTCTGAAGTTAATGATTTTTTAAAGTGTTTTCAACAATCAATTTTTTTATTTTTTTTTTATTTTAAAAATCTCACTTTTATAAAATAGATTTCAGAATGTTACATGAATGTAAAGGATTTTTGAGCAATCTTTCTCATAAAATATGAAACTGATCAAGTTGCTGAGGTATAATTGCTTTGGCCTTTCATTTTAGAATGTTATAAACTTTTACTATACAGAGATGATAAAGTTCACAGAATAAATAAATGGTGACAAGGATCAGATCAATGGTTCAAACAAGTTTTGAAATGATTAAAGGTTCATCTGATAATTACAAGATTTATTCTTGCAAGCAACATGACATTTTGTATTAATGAAGATATGATATTTTAGTCTGATGATGGAAATGGGTTTTGGTAAATCATTCGTGTAAAGCAAGTTCAATCATCGCTGCATGTTCGATATATGTGGTCTTTATGCCAGACTAAACCAAGTGAAGAAGAGACAACAAAAAGAGAAATTTGTTGGTTGATAACCTTTGAGGTAAGTTGTTAACTTACAAACCATCATCAAATACACTAGAGGAAGATTTTCCCTTTAAATGCATTTTTTGCATCATGCAATTCAAGGGATCATCATGAGTAAAAAAAATATTGTCAAAAGTAATTTATGAATCCAAAGAGCAAGGAATTTATTTCTGTATAACACTCCCCAATTTCCATCTAAGAATTACTTTTGAAAAGACCAAATTAACAACAAAGAAAAAGAATGGAAGCTGACATTTCAGAAAGACAGACAACAAAGACATGGCTTTGTATGGAAATGTCAAACTTGCAGCAAATGGAGAAATAATTTCGTAATAACTGTTTTTGAACTGCAGGAAGAGAGCAGCATTTTTTTTTTGGGGGGGGGGTCTACCCAGCTGTAGAACTGCTCATGAAATTGAACAAAGTTGTTATCTCAAGAAATAAAAAATTGGAAATGTCATCTTGAGCAAATTATTTTAAACTTTGCCAGCCTGCTAAAAGAAATATTCTGCTTTTCAAAGCCTTGCCAACTTACAGAAAGAAATGTCCTGCTTTTCAAAGCTTTATCAACTTAAGTAAATTTTTCACTTTTTGAAGCCTTGTCAACTTGCTCGTGTAAACTGCCATCTTTTCAAAGTTTTACCAACTTGCTCATAGAAATTACCTTATTTTCAAAGCATTTTTAACTTGCTCTTAGAAATGACTTGATTTTCAAAGACTTGTCAACTTGATCTATGTCTGTAGGTTAGTCTGAAAATTTTTTGTATACTAGCAGTTGCATCAGTTGTCATAATAATTAGTCAATTGTCTTCATTCCAGTTGCTGATTTAACTTATTGTCACTAACTCACCTAGGAGAACAAAAGTATATTTTAAATCAGAAAAAAAAATTTTTTTTTCTCTTTAATTTTCAGATTTAAGTGTCATATTGGAAGGTATATAAGCCCCCTCTGCCTACCATCTCTCAAAAAATAACTCCCAGATTTTATGTGAACCTAATTGCTAAATATTTACACAGTCACTGTTATCTACCAATATTGGTATCTAACCAACTCTATAATATTGAGCAATGTGTGGGAAGGCTTTATAGACTATCATTTATGAATTACAGTTTATTCATGACATAATTCATATCTACCTAGATAATAAAAATATATTCATAAGATTTATGATAGAAATATCTTCAGCAACTTTGTAATATATAGCAAAATTTATCTGTTAATAGTTTGCTTTTTTAAAAAAACTCTGGTCAGCTTTCGTATATAAATCTTGTGTCATTCAAATAGTATAGAGAACACAGCATATCCTGTTGTATACCAGATTTTAAACTGCTTTAAGTATTTATGATAAAAAATCATAAGAAAACTTTAAACAGCTACACAGACTTCAAATCTGTAAATGAAAATAAATCTGGAGTCAGCTTCAAGATTTAATAAGTACTTGATTTATTTAAAATTCCATTTAGTTAAAAGAATTGTGTATGGCTGGAATATTTCAACATAAGTCTTACATTGTAATATCTTATTAGGGTGAGGCCAACACTAATGGGAAAACAGATAAAAGTGCAGTGTATAAGATGTGATGCTGAAAAGTTGTCAGCACAACTAAGAAGACATTAAAATAAATAAATAAATAAATAAATCTGACGTTTGGTCAGATTTTACGAAGTGAAATAGTCAGAAAATTTTTCAGTACCCCATTTGAGCAGACCATACATAAAAACAAAATAAAAGAGAGAACCAATATATTCATCTGAGGATAAGTTTAAAATCTATAAATTTGGTAAGTGATATTGTCAGGAGTGAACCAAACAGATTGATTGATGGCCTGGTTGGTTATTTAACTGGCATATCAACCACAATGGGTCATTAATGCCAAAAAGGTAGGTTGGTTTGTTTTAGTGGCATGACAACCTCTATGGGTCACTCAATACTGAAATCCAAATACTTTGTGTGTAACTTTATGATTTTAATTACAGATGTTTTGTATGCAATTTTATACTTTCAAGGCAAACATGTTTTTTGCTTTTTAGAGATATAGTTTATAGATAATAAGATGTATTGTGTTTTCTTCTATAAGTGCTGGAAGAAGCCTACTTGTTTCAGGTAGCCTATAATTTGAGAAACACATATTTTTGAAAAGCATGATGAGGTTTTGTACATTATAGTATTTGTTGCTCATTTTCTTGTATTCTTTGCAGTCTATTAGAATGTGCTTAACAGTGAGCAATTGATCACAAGAGATGCACTGAGGTACAGTTTCTTCTTTGAGTAAGTATTTGTGTGTAAGATGCATATGTCCAATTTGAATTCTACTTAGCACTATGTCTTGTCATCGATCAGGTAATAATTCTCTATTTTGCCAGTCTGACTGTCGACTGATGCTTGTACAGTTTGGAAACATATCCCAAATTGTTTACAATTTTCTTTTAATGTATTGTGTGATTTTATTTTTGTAATCTGTATATAGGAGTTTAATGTTGGTTATTGTCATTTTGGTTGCCTCCATTGTGATTGCATCAGATTTTTGATCAACCAAATAGAAAAGATTGACCCTTTTTGCATAACATACTTTTCATCCTAGTGATTTTTCTTTGATTTTTTAATTTAATCAATTCACTTCAAACAAGACAATAATGCCACTAAGATGCAAATGGATACGAAGAGTGAAAAAGAATGAGAAAACTTTAGGAGGAACTACTAACCCAACTTTTTTTTTTCCTGGTAATATTTTTGTTTTATCAAAAATCTATTTCTGTTAATATTTTTTTCCTCAAAAACGTACAGCTGGTAATATTATTTTTCAAAAATTTATTTCTGGTAATAATTTTTTACAAAGTATTTCTGGTATTAAAAACTATTTTTACACTTTTATAATGCTTTTTACTTCAGTTTCAGGGTTAACTATTTGCCCATAGCTGAGACCCTAACAGGTGCTACCACCCCAGGTCAGGGTGGACCTGGGAACACCAGCAATTAAGAGGTGGTTACACACTCCTCAAAACCTCCTGGGCAGAAGCCTTGCTGTGGGATGTAGTTTATCGTCTTACCCAGGAGGCGAATGTAGTTTATCGTCATACCCAGTATGTAGACGGTAAATGGGAGGGGGGGGACAAGGGATAAACCTGCCAATTTTCTACACATTTTATTTCTATTGCAACAGAGTTATAGTCATGATTCTTAATATTTTTATTCAATCTTATTCATTCTTGGTCATGTCTATAACCCTAAATGTTACCTTCCTAAGATCTTTCTTCAGAAGACGTATCTAGGCAAGTTCTTAAAATTACATGTGTCACCATATTTTCAACGGCCTCTAACAGCTCACCCCCACAATCACTATTTAGCCATTTAGAAAAATGATACATTAAATAATTGAGCAAAGGCAAAAACATTTTTAACAGAAATATATGAGAGTGAGAGAGAGAGAGAGAGAGAAAGAGAAAGGAGAAAGAGAAAAAAAGAGCAAAAGAAAGAAAGAGAGAAACATTAATATTATTGTGTAGGGTTCAGTCTATTCTAATGATCTTTTTTTTTTTCCCTTGACTCCAAAATGGTTTTGTGTATGTTTTCAAATCTTATTCTGAGACATACATATCTTCTTTTTCAAATGCATCATGTCTGGAACTTTCATAGGTAAATGGTCTTAATAATAGATAAAAAGAAATCATAGCAGGCTCTAAGCTCAGTGGTTCAGTCCCCAGTAGAAAATGAATGGGACATATAAATGGATTTTTACAAAATCTCCAAGAAAACAGTACTCACAAATTTGCAATCAATAGTTGTTTAAAATTAATTTGCAACTAAGTAGGTATTATCAATATACTAGTAAAATCAATGACAAATTCATTTACTCTAAGTGCAAATCAGCAAAAAAAAATTTTTTTTGGATTCAAGTAATTTATTCGTTGTTACTATGCCATATACAATGATAGTCAGCCTCATGTGAAATGTATCAACTTTCATGAGAGACACAGTATAATGCAAGAAACATATCAATACTGATGTACACAAATACTGAAGACTTTATTGTCATAACATGAGAAACAGAATCATTGTTTTCCTCTGTCATCATCCTCTTAAT